TCTTCATTTTGTAGACAAGATCTTAGTTTTGAAAAAGGAAAAATCAAAAAGGATTTTGTAGAACTTAAAAATATATAAAAAAGTTGATCAATTTTTTTATGAAGGCTGCCAGTTTAGACAAGAAGAATCCTATATTGTAGTGGATCTCTTTAATGATCTGATGATGAATGTCATGAGATTTTTGCATTTGCCCGGTTGAGTATATTCAAAGATTCAAGCATAAGTTCAAAAGGCAAACAATGAATCGCCATTAACCTTTCTAAACATTGCATTTGAGACTCTTTTGGACGATTTTCATCGAAAATTTCGTCAATTAACCAAAAAAATGATTTTGACTACGTTTAACAATTTTTAAAGTAGTAAAATGGTAACTTTACATTAAAATTAAAAATAAAACAGAGGAAAAATAAAATTGGTCTTCTTCCTTAACCCACTCAAAATCTATCCCCATCTCACAACAAACCCTCACCCAAAATCAACCCAAACCAAAATCATTCTACTGTCTGTTGTCGTCGGCACCAAAGCAAATCGTCGACGGTTGCCGACGCCAACACCCACACATGCACCATAATTGTAACTGCCACCACCACATCACTCATATTCATTTTTTCAATAAATAAATAAAAAATTAAAAAGGTTTAAAAATCCACTAGAAAACCCATATTCGGCGACACCCACAATCGCGTACCTCCACCGGTAGGTAGCTCTCATCCATACGATCAAGATTATGGCATAAAATTAACTAATAGTGCACCATTCGTTTTGAGGTTGATCTAACATATCCAATAGTTACAAATTCGAATCTCCCCACCTCAATTCTTGTTTCACGTGACATTGTATTGACCAATTGGCTTCAGTCAAGTCTTGATCAGGTCCATACGACATTGTGTTACATTCCAATTTCATCAATTGCTCCAAAACTCGCCCAATTTCAGACTCAAAGTTTGGTACCCTTTTTGCGCGAACGAACAACAGCGTCCTTATTTTAGTTGTGGGGGTGGGTTAGGGAAGATGACCAACTTTATTTTCCTTTTTCTTTTATTTTAATGTAAAGTTACCGTTTTACCCATTTAAAAATTATCAAAATATTGTCAAAATCATTTTTGGTCAACTGACGAAATTTTTGATGAAACCATCCAAAAGGGTCTCAGATGTAACTTTTGGAAATGTTTGGAGGGACGATTGCAACAAATTAAAAGTTTGGAAAAGTCTGCTAATATTTCAAAAGTTTGGAGCTTCTGCTATAATTATTCCTTTTAAACAATGATTACATTTTTATTTTTATTTTTATTTTTATTAGTGAAGCTGTCCTTTAGAAGCTAATAGTTCATTATCTAGAAAATATCGGTCTCAAGAATGTTGATTTTCATTTTGAAGACAAGATCTTAGTTTTGAAGAAGGAAAAGTAAAAAATGATTTAATCAATTAGATGCATAATTTAGAATTTGAAGGAGCACGCACTTTGGAAAGGGACGAGGCAGAGGATTTTAACAGAGCAAAGATAAAAAAAAAATTTAAAAGAAAAAAAAAAAAAAAAAAAAAAAAAAAAACAACTAACTATATTAAGGAAAATGAAAATAAAGAATGAAAAATAAATTTTATTAGATTTGAAGATGAGGCTCAATGAGGCGCATCAAAGGATAGCTGAAAGGAGGATGAGTAATAAATGGAGACAATCGTTGGAGCTGTGACATGAGCAAATGTTATGACTTCATCTCTTTCACCACCATATAATTTAGTATTGCAGAACTTCTGAAATTAAATGTGAAACAGGGCAGTGTGTCTTTTTGTGTAGGAGTTCCCTAATGCTATTGTCACTCTAACAAAAGAGGTAAGGAGTTTTACTTCTGCTATGATGTTGTTCGGTTAAGGATTGTTATGTTACGGTAGACCAACAATTTCTTGTCTGAGGAAGGTGGTGTAAACTTAGTTTCTCGACACTTTGGCAACTTTGCAAGATATAGTACCTTGTGTAATTTTGTTCAGAAGGAAGATTTTTTTACAGTATACAATTGAGTACGCTAAATACACTTATCCAAGCCAGTAAATTGAAGCATTTTTTTAGTGATTTGAATGAGTTATAGCTTAATTATGTGTTGACCTCAATTTAAATTGGTGGAATTGGAAGAAATGAACAAAAAATGGGGCAAAATGAAATAAATCCAAAGTATGGGGACCAAAATATAAACATTTAGTAGTTGACTCGGACCATAAAATGATGATTGAAGATCATATATGATCAATTGGATGCAATTTAGAGATCAAATAAGTGAAATAAAGTTGAAGTATTTGCACAAATCAATTTTTACCCAAAAAAGAGAACGTTATGAGCACAATACCAAAAGATGTTTAGGGACAATGGTGTGCATACGAATAAGTAATTTCCTTTCGCGATTCAAACCCTTTTGGGACTCAAATTCGATGCAATTTTGACCTATTTGAGACTCTTATAAATAGAGAACAAGGGTTACGCATAAAAAAAAAAAAAAAAAACCTCTCTTGCCTCTTCATACACAATAGTTTCATCGAAATTATCAAGAACAAGGGGTCAATCATTTTTGAGAGAGGAGATCAAGCCATAGTAAGCAATTGAAGCTCAATTACACCAAAATTTTGAATAATTCAACCTTGAACTTGAAGATCAATATCTTTTGAATTATTTTAGGATCCGTATGATATTTTTCTATTATTCTTCTTGTAATTTATATATTAAAATGTTAGGCTATACCCGCTTTTGTATTGGATGAAGATGAACCATATTTGTTAATTATTTCTAATTTAAGACTAATAAATTAGTTTAATTCTTGTAATTCTTATTTAATTATGCGCACTTATTGCATTATTTAATTGGTTGGTTACCAATTAGATAATTAGTTACTTATTGTAGTGTTGTGAGACTCATAATAAGTTTAGAATGTGGCAAAATTAATATATGTGCAATAAATTTTAGGAATAACATTTATCAGTTATGAAATCATATAGATAATCTAAATTTTGATGCGTTCTAATTATTCAAATTCAGGCTAGGAATATATTTGGATCGTGGTTAGGATATAATTAATTTGTATTGAGAAAGAAAATTAAATACATTAATTTTATCAATTGTTGTGAACGCATGAACGAGACTAGATTACAAATCAAGAATTGAACTAGATAGTAATAGACGGATTCAAAATACAATACAGTCATCTCTAATTTGATAAAATCAAACTTTTATAGATTTCTTAGTTAATTTAGCATAAAATCAAAGCGAATTCTCTTTTGTTTACAGAATTCGAATTCCATACATAACTAATAAATTTGAATTGAAATTTATTCCATGTGGACGATACACATAACTCATCACTTGTCAATAATCTGTACGCTTACGGGTTTCACAAGAACAAGTTTTGGCGTCGTCATATGGGAATAAAGTATTTAATTTGAATTTATTATTTAATATATGATTTTATTTTTTGATAATTTTGACTACACATCCTGATCTTTCTTGTGATTGGTAAGCTTTCAAGTATTATTCAACAATATATGCAGAATTCTGATGATGACAAAGGATTAAAATTTTTCACAACGAGTAATTTCGACATGGATGATGAGGATATGCTTGTATAAGACATAATTTGTGAGATTTGTAATGTGATGCATTATACTGGAAAATGCTCGTATACATGCACTAATTACTTTATGTCCAAGCATATGCGGTTTAAACAGTATTAAGATGTCGAAAACAAGTAATTGACAAATCTTATGAATGCTACATGGCTGAAGAGATTGTAGTTGATCTTCAAGATCCGGAATGAATATCCAATAATAAAGAATCATTCCCAATAAACTAAGCTATGTTTTGTATTTAATAATTTGGTTGATGATTTGACTTGAAGGATCTTGACAATAAAATAATTAGGTTTTTAAATTTTTGACTTTAAAGTTTCATAAAAATTCTATCAACATCTTCAATTAAGTAAAATATATATATGTTTAAATAAATTCAAAATTCAAGGGCAAGGAAAGAATAGAAAAAAGTGTTTTATTGAATAAAATTTTTTTTTATATGATTCAAAATTGATGCTTTATTGCAAATTGTAATTGAGAGATTTAATTCGTTGATTATAAACAAAAGACTATGGAGTTTCCAAGAAAAGAAAAATGGGAAAAGTTGGGAATAGAATTTCAATTTGTTGGGCTGTGTATACCTATAGCTAGTTGGATTTTACTTTAAGCTTTCATTGTTTTTTTCCCTTAATCAGGGCCGATCCTGTGATTGTTGGGCCCTGAGGCGAAGCCCATAAATTAGGCCTCCAAAATCATCATGAATGCAAAATTTAACAACGTATTATGCAACATATTGTTAACTTAAAACTCAACATTAGAATAACAAACAAATATATTATACGAAAGGTTTATATTATAAAATAGCAAAACCAACAAATTAATACACTAAAGTATATTCCCCAGGAGAAAAGTTTACTTCATATTAACAACTTTATCTTTGTGGCAACTATTACTGTCTACCTTCATAAATTTGCATTCCCACGAAGCCCAAATTGTGCATTAAGAACTCCTCATTCTCTTGGGTCTCAAGAAGCAGCAAAATTAGAATACTCAAGGATCATATCCATGGCTATAATTATAATCAAATTACAAATATATTTCCTAAAAGTAATGGTTAAAAAATGTGATAATAAGAGATACGCCATAAGTTTCAGAGCAGCAAACTTATGCATAAATGCTACAAGGCAAAGAATTTTAACATCCAAAGAGAAAATAAAGAAAAAGGAAATTTATATGATAACAGACAGATGCTAACCATTGACTCTTCATCTCCCTCACCAAATCGTAGGGCAAGATCACAGAGAACTTGTGTAGTTGACTCCACTGTCATGGGCTCACCTTAAGAGAACATGTGATTCTGGAAAAACAAAAATTACTAAATAATAAGCAATTGCCCATACCATTCTACCATTGGATGACAGGTTATAATGGAGATTAAAATTTACATGTACCTGAGTTTCAACTCGGCATGTTCAACCAGTGTTCGGGCATCAGCAATTAAACCAATCATAGCACAGCCTCTATGCTCATCGATTTCCATAATCTTCTCCATGTTGCTAGGCTCCTAAAATAGAATTAGAACATGAGATGAATTAAGAACATGACATAAATTGTTTGACATCTACTTTCAAAAAGAACTAGTAAATTTAAACTATGCTAACTCCAAGGCAAGCATTTTAGACACTAATATGGCACTAAGGCAAATTGACTATGGTAAAAGCAAGGATAATCTCAAATTCTATAAGATCCTTTTTTGCGATCAGAGCATCCATAGCTCACGTCTCCTTCGGCATTAAGTTTTTCAAAGGAAAGTTAGTTATCACGATACATTTCTAACCTCCTCCATGCTGATATTAATATTCTAATTTTGCCATTTTTTAAAACTAGAATCACATTATGAATACTGGTGTTAGAACATTGTTTCCATATATTCATTCTAGTTCATCTATAATTACTCTTGCAAGGGCTCAACCTCAAAAAACAACAAACTCCATTATTCAGTGATTAGCATTTTGCTCAAGTACCCAGAAATGAGATTTAGAAATAACATAAGGTGATATTAGTAATAGTACAATTACCTAAACAAAACTTAAATCATAATTTGGTGCTAACAGAACAAGTTGAAGTGACAATGATAAACATAAAAAATACCAACCCAATGATTCTGAAGAAAAAGGGTAGTAAATGTACCAAAAGAGGAGAGGTAATTTGCTTCTCACAGCAAGAACCACCCCTTCCTTATTTTTTATGGTGATTGCAGTGGAACTGTGGAACCCAACTATAAGGATCACAAATAATACTAAATTTAATCAAAACTAAAGTAATTTAAACTAGATTCATGAAGATGGGTAATTGGGTATATATTAAAATTATCATGAATGCGGTTACCTTGATGGCTTCAATGGCATATTCAACTTGAAACAATCGGCCTTCAGGAGAGAAAGTGTTAACTCCTCGATCATACAGTCATACTCAATCCTTAAAAAAAGGGATAAATTCACATAAAAATTTAAAAAATGAACAAATTAAAGAGAACATTAAAACCTCCTATAACTCATAGGTTTCGAGTTTGAAATGCCATTCTTTTTTTACCTTGTGAGTTGTCAGGAACATTTTCGATTCAATTATTAGAGCTCAAGAAATTGTTACAATGCTACAGATGAGTTTGAACACACAGTATTGGAGGTGGCGATTGGCGACTCGAGGTCTCGAGCGCAATGAGAAGCTACGTCGGTTAGGGTTGAAATTTGAAAAAGGGGTGGTTAGCTTGTTTAGTTGTTTTGTGGTTTGTTCTCTTGTAATTTGTGTGAAAGAGTGAAGGGAACAAAAGAAGAGAAAAAGCCGCCTGGCCGCCGGTCCAATTATAGTGTCGGAGGTGAAGCAGTCGGTCGTAGGAGGAAAAGGAAATGAATTTTTTTCCCCTTTTCCTCCATTTATTATTAAAAAAAAAAAAAAACTGGGCCAAATGAGGCCTCCTTCGGTTCTGGGCCTGAGACGCAGGCCTCATTGGCCTCGCCTCAGAACCGGCCCTGCCCTTAATAAAATATGAATCATTAAAACAGAAAAAAATTTGCAATGCATAAGTTTCAAAATTTTGGAACGTTTGTGAATACAGGGCCTTAGACAACCATCTGGCTTCTTAGTTGAGTTAGCTCTACCAATTTTATCAGATTCCACAATTATGTATGTCACAGGAAACATAGAGTTCTCCCTTTTTATCCCTATGATCGACACAATGTGCCAATCATAGTATCATTTCAGAAAACACCCATCAATCCCAAGTACATGTCTACATCGTGTTCTAAAACCCTCCTTACACTCATCCAAACAAATGTACACTCTTACAAATTCCATTGATTCTCCTATCATTATATTAATTAAATGCTCACAGTAGTCGGTGAACATTCGAAATTGTTCATCGTTCTTCCCCTTGATCACTTCTATACATTTCTTCTATGTTTTGTAGAATATCCATTGCAATTTTTTTTTAAAATTAATTGTTGATTTTAATTCATTTTTCTAACTGAACCAAAATGAATCTAACTATATGTACATTGTTATTTATGCGTAAAGACTATTTGTATATTCTTATTTTGCCTCCATTTACGTCCTTCGGTACCTTTTGCTGCCAAGTTGCTAACAAAGCCATAAAGTTTAGCTGCCATGGCACTTCAATTTCTAAGGATTATGCTTCAAAAAATTAATTGCATATATATGTCGATCATGTATTAAATAATTAATTCACTATTAATCATTAGCGTTTCCAATAAAATGTAAAAAAGCGATACATGAATGTGAAAATATAATCGATATATTAACGTGAATAAATACATAGAAGTCTCGATGACCAATAGTTGATTAATTAATTTTCCTCAATAATTGAAGCGTTTATGAGTGAAAGTAAAACAATTAACTAATCCTTCAATCATGAAAATAACTTCTCTACGTGCATGTATAATTTTTATCTTCCTATTTCAAGGAGTGAAAAGAGTTTTTACAAGGAATTGATTATGGTCTTAAAGCCAAGTTAGAATCAAAAGTTTTGTTTCGCATTTTTTAGCCAGTTAGGGGATTTCAGGCCCATTTTTTAGCATCGAGAATTTACAGGTGTAAAATGAGGAAGAGAAAAAAAAAAAAAAAAAAAAAAAAAAAAAAAAAAAAAAAAAGAGGTTTGCAGTGTGATTTTTTTTCCCTGTCTATCTGGTCATTTCATAGCTAATATTAGAAGATTTGATGAAAATATATCCTTGTTAACTGTGGAAACATCATATTAATATTGATCTACCTCTTCCTCTTCGTAACTTGTTCTAATGGTGCATAAATTTCTTTTAAGCTAAACAAAAATATGGTCCAATTACATTATGAGTCGTCGTCTTTCACTTCATTTATTATCAATTCCATTTGTTGACATCTCAATTGTTATGTTATATATTCTCATCTTAATATCCTTGGTTCAAGTGGTTGTAGGACCTCGGTAATGACATGTACAAACCAGTGATATATTCTTGGTTCTGCTTATCTATAGATGAAAAAAACTGATTATTTGACCAGCAGATCATCATAAATTTAATAGTTAATTTTTCATGCTTTTCTCAAAAGAGAAAAGAAAGATTGCTTTACCTGCTGGGATCTATGAATAAATCGCGCTTTTAATTTCATATTAACAATAGTAATAACAACTTGTTAGAATATTGATTCTCTAAAACTTATCCAACAGTTTTTACTGAATTATTTTAAGAAAGAATATTGTATCATACCATCTCACGTGTGAACAATTAAAGATGCAGGTAAGATTTTAGATCCAAATAATTGAGAATCCATGACAGGATTCATCTGTTCCATATAGAAATTTTCTTATACATAAATTGTGGTAGGTTTTGGAATGACAAAATTACTTTTGTTTTTGCTTGGACCTACTTAAGTTGTTTGGCACTTCCCAAAATAAAGGAAAATTAGAGAGATAATGATGAACTTAAATGCAAATGAAGGCAAGTATTAATTAATTATCAGCATTGAAAAAAGTTGAAAAGACCACCTTATTAGACATTATGTTATAAGTCTAGAGCTAATTATGCTTATCCTTCAAAAAAATGGTTGAGATTTATTCAATAGGCCCAAACCATAGGATGACAACTTTTTAGAATAATTAATCTCAACCTAGGATTGTGAAAGTGATACCTATGAGAATATGCATTGGTCGTTAAGAAAGTAATGTGTCTTTCAGCCAAAGATAACCACTTCACATTTTTCACTATAAAATCTTACACTTAGGGTCGTCGACATGTAATGCAATTTTATAATATCAATAGTAATCTTGTTTGGTACTCTCTCTTGACCTGATATTTGTACATATCCTTGTGACTCGTCTTTTGTTCATCCCACAATCAAACACATCTATAATTGATTTAACTGGTTGTCGGAGTGCTCGTAACTTTCTCCCCACCATTGAAGTAGGTCACATGTGTCTAACGATTTGTTCAGATATTCAAAAACCTTACTCATGAACGTGAGTAGAGCCATGCTATCAAATTGGAAGTCTAGGTCAACAGTTTCAATGAAAAGGAAAAAGGCAAAAAAAATAAAAATAAATTGAAAGAAAAAGAAATAATATGTAAACTCTTTCTATAATATGTAAACTCTTTCTACCCAACGTTTCACCCCACCACGGATCTAAGAGATTCATTGAAGATTTATACGTCGACATCAATGTTTTCTTTCAAGCTTCAATTAACCTAAAATAAGTTGTAGAAAGCAAAAATCAGGAAATTCTTCGAACCAATCGAATATGATTGATTTCAAACTTTATCACACCCATTTCGGAGAAGCAAAAATTGGCAAGAGAAATTTTATATCGATGGAGGAAATAACGATGTGGACCTAACCAAGTGTGGGATAGTCGTTCTGCTAGGCTTCCCCTAAAGTGGGGGGGTGTGCTGTCCCTATTGGGCTGGGCCCTTCCCCTAAAGGCCCCACCGTCGGGGCATGCACGATAACTCCTCGGAAGAAGGGGTACTTGCTTAGGAGGCGTTAACGGGTCTATAGTTGAGAATAGCAAATTTCCATCATTCAAAGTAGAAACTCAAAGGCATGCCTCGAAAGGAAGCGAGTGACGGGAGGGTAGCAAAGAGAGGACCACTCTTTAGCGAACTACTCTAAGTTGCAGATAAACTCGTTAGCAGGAAGAACAACAACTAGTAGTAACCTCGTTGGTAGAACACAAGCAATATGTATGATATTGAGCTTGAGCATCCCAATAATGGGGCTACAGCTTTCATGCTTTAACAAGCCATTAAGACCAAAATTCACTAAACTATAGGAGTTTAAACATAGATGAGCATTAAATTGGTAAACATATAGTTATTAGTATGTAAATTGAGTGTAATTGAAAATTTGTAAGATGTTTTAATTGATGGAGGTTTTGTTATGTTGAGCATACTTTATAGAAAAATACTATATCACATTATTTGTTATTAGTACCCGTTCAGGTTAAGATAAAATTTTATCAACACATTGTTATACATTTTAACTTCACTAAAAAATGAATCAATAAGGTCAATTGTCAATTAGCACTGGTGGTCTTATGCTTGAGAGTGTTTAAATTAAAGTTTATGCAATTATAGCTGTTGGTTCTATGAAATACATGAATTTTAAAAAAAAGTATCGATAAAATTATGTTTGACCAACTAAAAATACAATTTAAATTATGCACTTAAATACAAAGCAATGAAATTCATCATCACAATTGATGATCACTAGTTTATGTGAGAATGATGCCAACGACAACCCATATGGATAGTAAACAATAAACATCGCTAGAATGAATAAAATCATTCAAAAATAAATATGGTGCATTGAATATTTAACCACGCAACCACATAGATTTGTGCTAAGCGTTATTAATAGAACATCATCTTGAAAAATGGAGCAATTATTATTTTGCACAATTGGTGTTAAAACATCAAATCAATTTTGGTGACAATAATGTGACATTAAATTAGAATTACAATTAAATGAGTCATTTAATTTCACATTTGGTTGAACCTACTATAAAACACCATCTAAACTGATGTTATAACATCCCTGGTGCTATACAACGTTACTCTTGAAAGTATTATGGGCAAAAATTAGAGATGACAACATAACCCGTGCCTGACTAGTGGGGGGGGGGCCCACTTCATCCTGAACCTACCTTGTGAAAAAGTAAAAAAGAAAAAAAAATTGATAGTTTGAACATTATTTGTTTTGAATTTTAAAATTTTGAATGTATATTTTATTTTCTAATAATAGCATAACTTGAAAATTTGAAAATATAAATTAAATTTTTTTTTTTTTTTTTTAAAAAAAAAAAAAAAAAAAAAAAAAAAAAAAAAAAGAATACAAATCGGGCAACCCCCTCGCCGCCCTACTCCCATCTCTAACATAAATGCTAAGAATCACATGTTTAAAAAAAACATTATTTAAAAATAAATATAATGCTCAGGACCACCCCTTTTTTGAAAAAAACATTATTTAAAAATAAATATGTTGCATTTAATGCACACGCAGTATCCAAATATGGACCAAGCTTGTAGTACATCCTAGAGGTTAGAGTTCTGTGAACCTTCCAGAGCACTCACATCATAAGGTGGGTGTTGGGTGGTTCTATTTTTGGCTAATTTTTTATACAAGTGGTCCCATGCTGCTATGAGGGTCGAAACCCTACCTGGTAAAACAACGAAACTCATCTGAATATTAAGCCTTGTTTGAATCTCATTATTTTTTACAAAATACGTTTTTTAACAGTAATTTGATCCAAATTTAATTACATATTCTTTATTAAAATAATATTTCATGCAAATTCAAAGCTTTTTTTTCTCACTACACATTTTCGATCAATACATTATTTAAAAATAATCAAAAATACATTTATTTTTTTGTCAAAAATACACTCAAACAAGGCTAAGACCCCGTTTGATAGTCATTTTTCTAAGAATGATAATGAAAAATATAGTTGTTACGAATCTACATAAGAAATAGAAA